CCCGGGGCGACCGGGTAATCCTGCCGGTACAGCGTGCGTCACCCGGGGCGACCGGGTAATCCTGCCGGTACAGCGGGTGTCACCCGGGGCGACCGGGTAATCCATAGCAGGGGGGACACTGAGCTACTTCAGGTTTTACAGAGGCTCCTGTGCTTGGCTAAATAGTTCAGTTCTTCTTTTGCTTCGACTGGTTTGTTTCCCTGATTGAAAGACGTATGCAGCTGTTTCACATTCTCATTAGCAACATATGGATGATTATAGGAAACTGGCCAATCGGCACGCATCAACTGTGCTTAAGTGAAACTCAGCTCCTTTTGATTGAAATGGTAGTTTCCAAACCCTGTCCTGGCTCATAGTGTCCCTCTGATTATTTGGTCACCCTAGTATGGTCTGATTTGTATTTGGCTCTTGTATCCAATGTATGGATGTATGGATGGATGTCTTCTCCTGAACGGGCAGCTTTCCCCGTGTGGTGTCGTGCTCCTTAACGGCCAAACACAGGGCTTGGCCGCGGTTGTGCGCTTCCAGCGATCCCGCCGGTTGCTGGGGGTGTGTTATATCGTGGTGAAGGTGAGCGTTCCAGAGCCGCCCCATTAACCCAACGTGCATTGTCTCTATTTCCATGGTTATGTTGCGCACTGATTTTTTAATTTTCTTTTGTATTTCTGATGTCGTGGTGACAGCATTTTAAATATCCCTTTTTATGTTTTTGTCTCAATGTGCCTTAAATGTGTTCTCTCCCGTTTACCGTCTTCCCTCTATTTTAATGAATAAAACTGGAGACAGTACATTTTAGATGAGCTAAGAAAGAGAAACTATAATTCCTGTGGTTTTATTAAAACACAGGAAAACAGCCTAGTGAGTTCTAGCGTCTGAGGTTTAGGGATTTGCTAGTTTACGGAGGCGATTTTGTCCTGTTAGACTCTGATCAGCAGCTTTGGCTTCAGGTCTCCTTGCTGGTCGTCGTGGAGATTGGCGTCTTCCCGCTCATCTGCGGGTGGTGGCTGGACATCTGCTCCCTGGTAGGATTTCTTGGAGCCCCGCGAGGTCCCGGCCTTTCAGAAAGCGCTCGTGTTGATGCCTCTGCATCACCCTTTTGCAGGAGATGTTCGACGCCTCTCTGAAGGACAGAGAGATGAGCTTCACCTCTGCTCCTGGGACGACCATGTTCCTGCACTGGCTCGTCGGCATGGTCTATGTCTTCTACTTCGCATCTTTTATTCTCTTACTGCGAGAGGTACGGTATTCTGCTGGCTCCTGTGTGTGCCTGTGTTTGTCTGCACATAAGCCATCGCATCTCGTACTGGTGTTCTAACAGGCTGATCATTTGTTATTGTTTTTTAATGATTATTTTACTCTAGCTCTAACCTGGATGACTGACTTTAAAATGAGTTCCCTTATTTAATGTCTGCTCTTGGAGCGCGCTTGTCGTTCCGTGAGAGGTCACTCGCTGTCTGACCTTGTCGTTCCCTCGGGGCTCGTGCGCTGTCTGACCTTGTCCCAGGTGCTGCGCCCTGGCGTCCTGTGGTTTCTGAGAAACCTGAACGATCCCGATTTTAACCCGGTGCAGGAAATGATCCACCTGCCAATATACAGACACCTGCGCAGATTCATTTTATCAGTGGTGAGCGACGCGCTGCAGGCGCCTCATTCTCTCTCCCTCTCCCTGTGCCGACTTAAGAGCCGCCTTTGAGTGGGTCTCCTCTCTCCCTGCAGGTCGTGTTTGGGTCCATCGTCCTCCTGATGTTATGGCTGCCCATTCGAATAATCAAGCAAGTTTTACCGAGCTTTCTGCCGTACAACGTGATGCTCTACAGGTGCGTCTGTGGCTTCACTGTCTCTTCACGGTGGGGGATGTTATATTTTCGCTAGGTGTGCGTGTTGAGTCATAGAATGCAGGTGTCTGTCACTGTTAGGTGAGTAAGCTGTCACGATGACCAGTGGCTGCATGAATCCACTCCATTCTCCTAGGTTCCCATTCTTTGTCATGTATCCTAAAAAGAATGGCATCCATTTGAAAACTGAACACCCACATCGGCTCTCCATGGATCAGGTTCGCTAAACCTGGCCTAGACGGTCCGTTGTTTTTGGTTCAGTGCATTAAGGCGTGATGCCTGACCAATCAGACCGTCTCTGTAGCAGTGGGCAGTGTCGGGGGGGCAGTGAGAAAGCAGTGCTTAAAGCGGATTGACTGGCATTCAGACGGGCAGTGTTGCTGGTGACTGTGGAGGACGTGACTGTCCAATGTGGCCCTTGTGTCAGGTCATGTGAATGAGCCCCTTAATGCTGATTGGTGGCTTCCTGCCCCGCCCCCGCAGCGACGCCCCCGTCAGCGAGCTGTCCCTGGAGCTGCTGCTGCTGCAGGTGGTGCTTCCCGCGCTGCTGGAGCAGGGCCACACGCGGCAGTGGCTGAAGGGCCTGGTGCGCGCCTGGACCGTCACCGCCGGATACCTGCTGTGAGCCCGCCGCCGCTCCGCGCCGTCACCCGGGCAACGCCCCTTAGCGGGAATCCCACAGGAGCGACCTCTGATACGGTGCCCCTCTGGGAGGCAGGAAACGGGCCAGGCCCCCCCCGTGATTAGACATTGCATTTTAGGCTAATCTTTGAGGTTTTGTGCTTTACTGCTGTTGTGGATATCACCGTCATCGTAATTATTTTTTGTTTGTTTGAGCAAAGTTTAAAATTCACCTCCCGCTGCCGCACAGGGACCTGCACTCCTACCTCCTGGGAGATCAGGAGGAGAATGAGAACAATGGGAACCAGCAGGCTCGTAACAACAACAACAACGGCGCCGCCCCGGTGGTGGGCGAGGGGTTGCACGCCGCCCACCAGGCCATCCTGCAGCAGGGCGGCCCCGTCGGCTTCCAGCCCTACCACCGGCCCATCCGGTTCCCCTTCAGGGTAAAGGCTCCCCTGCCGCGCTTCGGACCCGCACCCTCATTCATTGGCCGTGGGATTGGCATCAATTCGGTGGGGGGAGGGCAGTTTTAATTGGTCTTGGGATAATTAGCAACAGCCAATCAGAATTTGTCAGCAGCAAGCGGATCGACAGTCGTGTCGCGGTCAGTGACGGCCTCTTGCTTGAGGCGTGACTCTTAACGGCGGTCTGTCCTCTGCAGATCGTACTGCTCATCCTCTTCATGTGTCTGACTCTTCTGCTGGCGAGTCTGCTCTGCCTCACGCTGCCCGGTGAGTCCCAGGCCTTACCCAGTTTACCCAGTTAGAGTTTAACCTGCCTACATGGCTTGATATTGGGATATTAGCCATCAGGTTACTAGCTTGTGGTCGTTACCGCTGTGGTTTCGCCCGTCTCCCCCCCCCGGCAGTGTTTACGGGCCGCTGGCTGATGTCATTCTGGACGGGAAGCGCGAAGATCCACGAGCTGTACACGGCGGCGTGCGGCCTGTACGTGTGCTGGCTGAGCGTGCGCGCCATCACCGTCATGCTGGCCTGGATGCCCCAGGGCCGCAGGGTCATCCTGCTCAAGGTGCACGAGTGGATGCTCATGGTAAGCAGCCGGCCGGGAGGGCGCCCTCTGAGCTGCTGGCATCCCGCTAAGCGGCAGGGAGCTGGGGGGGCGAGCGAGAACGTGCACCGTCTATGGCTCCCTGAGGACCAGATGGGGATGCACCGCTCTAGGGTCCAACAGCAGCCGCCGTCCCAGGGCTTGTTAGCTGCCTTTCGTCGGCCGTCTCTGGCTGGACTATCATGGCTGCTGTAGGTTAACTGTGCTCCTGTCTTAGCGTATGACGTACATCGCGACCTCCCGCCACGTGCAGATCATCAAGACACTGGTAGTCGCCATCCTGCTGGCTGGGGTTATCCCCCTGCTGCTGGGGCTGTTGTTTGAGCTGGTCATCGTGGCCCCCCTCCGCGTCCCCTTGGATCAGACGCCTCTCTTCTACCCCTGGCAGGTAGGACAATCTACACATTGGGAGGGGAGGGGTAGCATATTTTTATCTCTCTAGCTCGTTATGGCTTTATTTCGTGTCGCGCTCCTTCTTAAGTGTAATATAATCGATGAGATGCGCAGGTTGAGGCTGGGCAACGCCGGCTTCTCTCAGTGAAGCTTCCCGTCTGCCCTGTGTTTGCTGCAGGACTGGGCCCTTGGAGTTCTGCACGCCAAAATCATAGCGGCCGTCACTCTTATGGGTCCCCAGTGGTGGCTCAAGACCGTGATCGAGCAGGTGTGTTGCAGCTCACGCCCCCCCCGCAGTTCTGCTCATTTCGTTCCTCTCTGCTGTTCCTCAGCGCTAATTGCGGCCCCCCCCGTCCCCGTCTCCCCAGGTGTACGCTAACGGGATTCGCAACATCGACCTGCATTTCATCATCCGCAAACTGGCTGCCCCCGTCATCGCCGTCCTGCTGCTGTCCCTCTGCGTGCCCTACGTCATCGCCGCCGGGATTGTCCCCGCTGTCGGTACGTCTCCAAGGCGCTCCCCCGGCGGACTTTATTACCCGGAATCGGCGAGACTTTCGCCGTTTCTCAGTACCAAGAACGCAAAGATCGTACTCATGGTCACGGCAGGACTGGTCTTGCTAATTCGCCTCCCACGAAAGAACTTAGTGCACAATGAATCACGGGATTGGTCTCATCTGACGATGATGCAACCGATGTATCCTTGATGTTAGGGGGCGGGACAAGAATGTCATCCGGGGATTTTTACAGTCTTTACTTCTGTTCTTAAGTATTGTAACTTATCATCAGCATTAGAAGATGTAAAACGGGTACGAGAGAACACAAGTATCGTCAAGTATACATACTGAAAAGCACAGTGTCAAACACTCTTATTGCCTGTCCGCCAACAGGTGACACCTTTGGCTTATGCTGGGCATTCATAAGGAACGGGGGTCAGAATTAAACCCAATGACCTTCTCTGAAACCCCTGATCCACGAGGCTTCATTAACCGCCCGCATTTTGGGTGGTTCCGTGGGTCGTGTTCTCCCCTGACGTCACGGCGCTGTCACCCCCACAGGCGTCGCCAAGGAGATGCAGAACCTGGTCCAGCGCCGGATCTACCCCTTCCTGCTCATGGTGGTGGTGCTGATGGGAATCCTCTACTTTCAAATCCGCCAGTTCAAACGCCTTTACGAGCATATCAAGAACGACAAGTAAGCTCTCCCCCGGGGAGTGGAAGCGGCAGCCCCCTGTACCCCCCGTGCTGTGAGCCGGTTCTGCGATTGCCTTGGGTCTCCGCTAGTGGGAATTAGTTTCGAGTCCAGTACTTCACATTGTGGAGGGCTAGGGCATGGAGCCATGAGGCAAAATGTAAAATCGTGAAGTTAAAATGTGCTGAAGGACACAGCTTTAACACACTGTAAACGCTAAAGAAAATGCCTGTTTAACTGCCCTTTGGCTATGACCGCCCCCTGGTGGTGGTGAAAGGGATTGCTGTGGCCCGGCCATTTGAATGTAACCACCCAATCAGAAGCCTCGTTCCTACATAATGTTCTCCTGTTGCCTTCCCAGGTACCTGGTTGGCCAGCGGCTGGTGAATTACGAACGCAAATCTGGCAAAGCGATCTCATCTCCTCCCAGCAGTCCCCCACAGGAGTAGCTCCCACTTGACTGTCTTTGTGGGGGGACACTTGCCCTTGTTGTCTCGTTTTGCATCAGAATTACAAAGCCTGCTCCCCAACCACCCCCCCCCCCGTCCCCGCCCCCTCCCTGTAAGTACAACCTGAAAACTGTAAATGTGTAAATAGGCCAGAACAGAATGACCTCTGAACAAACTTGGATTAATAAGTGTGCATTGTACATCTTCACAAGAAAATGTATATTAATTTATTAAATCTAGTTGTCACTTTACCTGGTGGTTTCCTGTTTGGTCTGGAAACGCGGCTCTCAGCCGGGAAGTGGGGGGGGGGACTTTTAAATGATCAGCATTTGTTATGGGGGGGTAGCATTGTGAATTGTTAAGACCCAGATATTCAACAGAAATAATTTTTCTTTCCCCCCCCCAAGTTAAAATGATGCAACAGGATTGTCGCAGCACAGGTAACGTATAAGAAAAGAAACGGGATTTTAAACGGTTCACTTATTTCCCACAATACTTATGTCTGACAGTCGATCACCAGCTTAAAATCAACAGGCTAAAATTAGTGCTGCTTGATACAGGCATTCTTGTAGACGTCCCTCACCTTAAATGTCCTTTCCGTCTTTGTCTGTTTGTGCATCACCGCGTGGTTCCCTTCCACCTTCAGGGCCCTGGTCTCCAGGGAAACCAGCACTTTGAAGCCTATTCTAAAGTTCATATGCAGTTTTAATGATCCAATGGAAAGCTTCAGAAACTTCACACCCCTTGTGTCTCTGCCAATAGGAGTTAATGGTTTAACAACCTGACATCCACTGTATACACTTTTTTCCAGCATTGGACTAAGGTCAATTGGCTATTTTTTTACGTGAACAAGCTTTTAAATTGCAGTTACGGTAGTGTTATGTAAAATGCTATGGCTTCTCTCATTTATACTTGCTACCTAGTTAAAAATCCTATAAATGACTGCAGTGTACAGCCCATACATGCTGCACGCTGTCTGTACAATAGCTTCAAGGTTTTAAAGTTATTACACCAGCATATGGTTTTTATACATGTATTACGTAAAGGCACCACTTGGAAGGGAGCTTTGTAAGCCCTGTGTATAAAACCGGCACGTTTGACTGTCTGACTTCACGCTTCCTGTATCTTACCGAGTGACGCACAGCCATTTCGGCCACACTAACACACTCGTTCCCATAACCTTATTTTAAACACTGACTGCACTGAGTGCATATCTACAGCAGCATGATTCCTCCGGCATGCATTCGTAATGTCAATTAGGCCCCCCCGAGATTGCGGGCCCCTCCTTCACACGCAGTGCCTGGGTTCCGTCATTAATTAGTCTGGCAGGCTGAACGGAGGGAAAAGCAGGGTAGAGATCGAAACTGAATTTATATATATGAAAAAAAACTGTAATCATCATGAACTTTAAAAAAAAATTAAAAAAAAGTCAGTTAAAACTAGCACCCCCCCCCCCAATATAACTGCAGTTTTTGCAAAGTGTAGACTAAAATGAATACAATGACATTTAATGCTTTTGAAGCTGCATCATATGCAACCACAAGAGGGCGCCATTTGACCAGTCAATATGTACAGCGCAGTCATACCCACACTGTATAGTTGATTTTATATGAAATCTTTAACTGTCACCGAAAAAATCTTTGGCAGCAGACAACTAGAAAACCCTACAGGGACAGTGGGAGTTTGGCTGTCAGTTTTCTCCATACTGTTTGCTTCATTACAGGAGCCCCCTTGCTCAGCAGTTTGGGTTCATGGCAATGTTGTGGATGTCAAACGTGGGTCTCTGCTTGCCTCGTCAAAGATGGAATATCTGCCTCATTAGAGAGGCTGCCTCATACTGTGAGGCAGAACAGCAACCAAACGGCAGTGTTCCAATTAATTGGCTTATAACCATATTAACAGTACATTCAAGTGCTATTTATGTAACATTTATCTGAAACTCTTACAGTAGCAGGAAGGGTTACAATCTGATGTGTGCTTTCGGGGATTCAAACCCATGACCTGTTGTTAGCACAGCATAGTACTTGTTGACAGGCAGTTTTAATGGTAGATAAAGTGGGGTAAAAGTGAAGAGAGCAGCATCAGCTCATAGGCTCAGCAGAGATGTTTATACACTGTCATCATCTCTCCACCCTCTCCATTAATCTCTGCATTTTAATAACTGCTCATCCAATTAGAAACACAGTGATCTAGAAGCTGTACTGTACTGGAAAGCAGTGAATGTGAAGCAGGCAGGACTCTGGTGGTCATGCATGTACACACAGACACACACATGCACAGTCTTATGGACCGACTGTTATGTAGATCACAATGTCTTTAAGGTCAAATTGAACCTGCATGCCTGTAACCGTTACTTTTACCGAAGCATCGCTAACAGAGTGTGACGTCCACTACTCTACAATCCCATCACTTCTGATGCAACAGTGTGAAAGCCAGGTGGCCTCAGTGAAACACACTGTCTGTTATGGATCATAAGGATACATACTAAGAATGTGTGTGGCTCACTTTCTTAGCAGAACCGAGCGAGTAAAAGGTTCACCTGAAAACTGAATGTCAATTAGTAATGAGGCTATTTGTGGAAAACAATTTCAAAGAGGAATTGCAAAAAAAAAAAACAACCCTCAGTGAGGTTTCCATAAGATGTCTCTCTGTTCTTTAAATGAAGTGCTATGCAGCTGATGTTTTATAGGAGAATAAGGGAGGCGGAGCCTTGTCTTCAGCTGTTCTGCAGTGCAGTGCATCTGTGAGGCTGATTTCCGCCGTGCTGACTGTGACCTATTCTGAGCGCCCTCGTTAAAGTGGTGACGTCCTCTGAAGGCTAACAGCGGGGGAACGGGCACCAGAAGACCCCTGCCCACCCTCACCAGAAATCAAAGTAGCTCTTGGTCTATTTTAAACATTCAGTACAGTTTTCATCACAGGTAAACAAGACAAGGTGAATGTCAAGCAGCAGCCTAAGTTTGGTTGCAGAGGTCTGGAGATCCATAGCAATGATAAGGAAAGTTGCTTATTTTATATGCTTAGAGTACTTCCCTAAAAATACGGGGGACCTAACAGATGGGATACTTTCTGATCTGTGGGTGCACTTGGGGGGGGGGGGGGGTTGAATGGAAAAGCTACCACAAACAGCAGCTGCTGATTTACCGTCTTGAAGCTGGAACACAAGCCAGACGACAAGAGCGAAATGTGTGCAAGACCCCTGACAGACAGACTGTGAGCGGGCCCGCACACAGTCTGTCTGTCAGGGGTCTTGCGTCTCCCCACTGCAGCGCATCACTGCGGGCCCGCTCACAGCAGTGATGTGCTGCAGTGGGGAGACGGACGGTGCGACATTTCCCTTAGCATTGACTGTGAGATGGGTGTGACACCAGAGCCGTGTAGATTTTACAATGGGAGCTCCAGCTGACCTTTCAAGCAGAAATACACCAAGTGAGATGATCCATCCACGCACAAGGAGAAGGCCATCAAGCCCAAAGCATGTGTTTTACTTACATTTATTCCTTCATCTAAAGTGACTTACATTAGAGGAAAGGGTTACACTTTACGTGTGCTCCCTGGGATTTGAACCCATGACCTTCATGTTGTTAGCCGATTCTAATGAATCCAGCTTAAAATGACATGCATTTGAATTGTGTTCAATCGAATAAAATATGAATTTGTTCACCTAACAATCACCCATATACCACAACAAATGCTGATCATTTAAATGATGAGTTTTTCCAGCTCTGTTATTTTGATTGTATACAAGGGGACTATAATATATATACATCATATTTATATATATGAAATGCATCATATACACAGTGGAATCCACTTATAGTGATCACGTCTGTCGGTGAAATTGATCACTATAAGCGGATCGTTGTAACTGATTTTTTTTTCCTTTTTATGTCTCGGGCAGATTACCATCTAATTGACATTTGGATATTTATTACATGAATATAAGGTAAAAAAAAAAAACGGACAGCGTCGCTATTTACATAATTTTATTTACTCTTTCAAAATACTGTACAGCTGTTTCAAAGGCTTTTCAAATTACAGTACTGTACAAATTAAATTACTGAACTATGTATTATTCAAATACGCTGTAATGCAGTAGCGCCGGCGGCATCTGCACGTCCCGGCATGCCTCGCGAGCGCGTGTAGCCCCGTGTGTCTTGTGTATATACTGTATAGCCCCTGCTTGTATTCTTTAGTGCAGGGGTCACCAACCTTTCTGATACTGAGCGCAACTTCACAGGTACTGAGCCATACGAAGGGCAACCAGTTTGATACACTAGCTCTTCTTAAATAGGCCTAACAAATTTGCTCAGTATAATGAACATGTTTAAAATGCTTTTTTAATAGATACTAACAAATCTATATAAATGCAAATGTGATTAAAGAAGAATACCAACAGGATCAAATTAAAATTGCTGCTCACTGGTGAGTTATGCTATTTTTAGAACAGGTCCGCGGGCGACTCGTGGTCCTTGAGGGCATCCTGGTGCCCGCGGGCGCCATGTTGGTGACCCCTACTTTAGTGTATGTTCTTTTTGTGCTGTGTATTCTGTTGTGTTCCTTTAACTATGGTTGTACTCGGTTCTTGCCTGATCCTCGCGTGTCTTAGCCATTGTATAATTACCCGCCGCGTGCATGGGTGCCTTACTTAGTGTAACTTCCCTGTTTTCCCCTGTCGTTCATGACTTTCGTGTTAATGTTGCTTGTGCGGTCCCTTTAAGGAGTAACATGAACAACTTCGTGTCAGTCCGCTTATCATTGTTTTCATTCGCCGTCGTCGCGATTCCTCGGTCTGTTCGGCGCTCAAATACGGTAAAATATTGTGATGAAATGTAGCTCGTCATAGTTTCGCTGCTGCATCTCGGTGGCTTGTTTTTGGCAGTTTATCAGAAGCTTCCATGAGTCTATATTTGTCATTGAAAGGAAATTACTTTCTTTTTTTCTGTCGTGTTTTCTGTGCACGCAGCATTAGCCTCAGGTAGCTAGCTAGAAGCAGACGGGTTACCGCAAGGTAAATTAGGCTTATCAAAGTAAAAAAAAAAAAAGAATTAGCGTAGTTTTAAGTTTTTCATGTGTTGTCATGTATAAAAAAAAAACAAAATGAACAAGTTCGCGGACTGATTGATTACTATAAGTGAATTATTTAAACTTCATTTGTACAGGAATGATTCTGTCCCAACCTTTTTGATTCATATAAGCGGTTGATCACTATAACCTTGATCACTATAAACAGGTTCCGCTGTATTTTCTGTATATGACGATATCTTGGAGGTGGTTAACACTGTTGCCTCACACCTCTGGGACCAGGGTTCGAGCTCGGGCTCGAACCCTGCATATTCTCGCTGTGTCATTGTGGGGTTTCCTCTCGCCCTCCCAGTCCAAAAACAAGGTAAGGCTGAATTGGCCGTAGGTGTGCATGTGTGAGTGTGTCCTGCGAAAGCTTCACACTCCCCATCCTAGGTTGTTCCCTGCCTTGTGCCTATAAGCTCTGGACTCCCTGTGACTCTGAACAGGATAAGAAGATGGAAGGATAGATGGACCACGTTTTAGATAACAGGTAAACTCGCCTTACCAATACCTATAAGCAAGCACACTTGAGTAGAATAGGTCACAAAGCAGTTCAAAAACTCAGTTTTAGTAATTGCTAGACAGATATAAAAAAGATTAAAAAAATATATATATAACACTATACATATATCAAAAACATTGGTCAAAAAGTACACCTGAGGGAATTTGGTACTGCATGCATGTGCACAGGTGGTTTAGGCAGTAATACTGAATAGTTAGGCTTAAAAGGTCTGGTTTAAAGAGCCTTAAATAAAGCCGCTTCTCTGCTTTAAGTCCAGGAGCCTGAAGATAAAGTTTTACCATTTCAGCTATGATTAGAAAATGGAGCCAAGTGCTGGAGTCAGAATTATTTTGGAGAGTGCTTCGATGTTTAAAATAGTGATTGAAATGTCTTTCTATATTTTTTATCGGATTTCTTTAAATTGACTTTTTTGTCCAGTAAAAATAGGTGAAAAACAAACACAAAAGAGCAATCTGTCACGATGACCGGGCAGGAAATGAGGTCAGCACAGTGTCCATTTTTCAGGCTTTGCAAACGGTGTGTCAGAAAAGCAACTCAAGGCGCCCCCCCCCCACACACACTCAATAAACCAGCAGGCCACAGTGCACAAACTGCGAAGGTAATTTCAGCGTCAAGAGAGATCCAAACAAATATGTTAATGTAGATGTATATATTGTGTGTGTGTGTGTGTGTGTGTGTGTGTGTATTAGGTTTTTCAGGTCCCCACAAAGATCTGTGAATGCAATCAAAAAAATAAAAATGCCAAAAGTCTTGTATTTTGCTTGGTTTGCTTGGTCGTCATGTTGGGATTAGAGTTTTCCCATAGAAATTAATGGCGAGTCCCGAGAAAGATATGATTATAATCCTATTTGTGTGTGTACGTGTGTACGTGTGTGCAAGTGTGAATGTGTGTGCGTACGGTTTTCAGCACGGGTGATAGTTCCCGCCTGCTCATTTCATCGCTCACCTTCTCTCTTAATTCACCACTTAACTCCTTCAGGTGTTTACGACACTGAGATCACACTTTTGAATGTAAATATACTCCACTTTATAGCGCCATTTAAGCACTCTGCCTGGCGGAGCCATAAAGCAGCAGGCCTCCCGCATTAGCTAAAGACCCTGGCCGTATGTGTTTCGGCAGGCCTCCCGCATTAGCTAAAGACCCTGGCCGTGTGTGTTTCGGCGGGCCTCCCGCATTAGCTAAAGACCCTGGCCGTGTGGGTTTCGCATCAGTCTGTCTCTGCTCTGTGACTCCAGCAGCTTCTCAGTCTCATTTTGACAGCAGGTGTTGGGCGGGGGGTCTCGGGCCGGAGAGGTGATGAGCGTGTCCGAGCCTGAGAAATAATGGTCTTCATTCAGGGAGGGGAAGGTTAGGTTTCTGTCTGTAGATACAGCCCATCAACAAAATCTGGTCGGCACCACAGGGCAAGAGAGATTCATCTTTTTCTTTGGAAACTCGCCGACTTCCCCTCACACACGCAAACACACACTTTCTCCTTGGACTCTCAGTTTAATATGGCTCACAGATCCCTCACCTGATACATGTTCAGAAATCTATTATAAATACAATAGTAGCACATACATCAAGATATGTAGAGAATCTGACAGTGCCTTTGGGGAAAAAAGGCTGAAAAGGCCTGTTGATCATTTTTATATCACAGACAGGGTATATTTAAAAAAAAAAAAACCAGGCCGGCTTGACCATTTTCAGGGCTTTAAGCAAAATCTGATTAACCTGGTTGTCATTTGTCATCTTCCTTCCGATTCTGACAAGCCGGACAGATGAGGTCGCCCCCTAGTGGCCACCTGGCCCTAAGCAGACACTGAGTTCGCTTATGCATTGGGCCAGCCCTGTAAAAAAAAAATAAAGATTTCTGTGTTTTATTCCATTACACTATTAATGTCCCACATGAAATCAGAAGGTCAGTGCTACATTAGTTATATTTAGTAGCAGACACCAAATCAGAGACTTGATTGATATTCGGTTTCTCAAATGAAAGCAAACCGCTATTACAGTTTCCATCCATCCACCTTCTAACCCGGCCGTCATCCAGTACAGGGTTATGGGGCGCACTGGTGCACGTGGGCACTGGGAAGGGGTTCACAGGACACACGCGTACATACAAAGACTCAGATGCAGTCACCCTTTCACATTCGCGAGGCTTAGCGGAGGAAGATCCCCGCCAGTGTGAAAATTTGCAGATAATGCTTGGGTCCAATATTAAAAATGCTAACTTAACGGCACCGAAAAGTTTAACGGTGACCGCGAGAAACGCGAGATTCCACGGTGACGGAGACAGCTAACGCGCGAGTGCGGCTGGCAGACAAAGATGTGCGTTGTTCCCAAGACAAGATGCGTAGATTCTACACTTCTTTTTTGTTTGACCAAAAATAACTTTAATACTTAAGCTGTAGCATGTACTTACACTAACAGATTAAATAACACCAATATTTACTGTATATATTATATGGTTTTATTTGATCAAATCATTTCAACATTGTTTATATATTTTTGACTTGCGGATCATCTGCAACTTTCTACAGGGAGTTTTGGTTCCTTTCCTCTGCTGTCGTGTTGCTTTCTTCCTTTAATTTTATCTTTCTTTGTCATCCCTTTCCACCACCATTTAAAACTATTAGGAGTAACTGTGTTAAAGGTGCTATATAAAATATATATTTTATTGAATTAAAATTGAATTATCGTTCAAAAGCTTGAGCATACTTGTGGGGAACTGTACTTATCTATGTTTCGAAATGGGGTTTGTGTGTCTGGAAAGGAAGCCAGTCTGCTCAAGTGACGAGTCAAAATTCAGAATGTTGGGGTGAGAATATGAGCTCTGCATGTGGCCAAGCAGGGACCAAATCAGAGACTTGAGTCTTCTTATCTTGTTTGAGCTGCTTATCTTCGCCAAACCCATGGCAATCTCTACCGGCATGGCCATCAGCACAGAATAACATATTCAGTGGTGAGCCAATCTACCACGGCTGACGGGGCAAAACATTGCACCTCAAATTTGTGTAAGATCTCTCTGGAGAAAAAGTGAAGGAACTCAAACTAATGATCTAACAGAACTTATATGGACCAAACCATTTAAATGAACTTTATGAAGTTATGAAGGTAAATGCTGGCATCCAAGATTTGCAGACAATTTTACTGAGCTGTGCCTATAGTTTGTATATTGCAATATGGTTTTTATTATCATATTTACAGAAAAGTATATTATCTAATATAATATGAACAGCTTTTAGAAAGTGTAGTAAAATTTTACTTGCACTGTGATTCATACAGTATGTATATTGCATGGAGGTGACCTTTATAAATGGTCACCAAGCTGTTTCAGTGACAGATTACATTATCTGGTCATTTATACTGTGGATTTATTTACAGTCCATGCCTTGGCCTGTACAGCTGCCCAAAAGCCTCTCTTCAGGGGTCAAACGTATCCTGCTGCCTTCCGCTTTTCTGCTGTGGGGTGCCGCCCTGAAGGATTCTGGGTATCCTGGATTACACCAATGGGATTTACCTCCCTTAGCACCAGGTTGACTGTCTAGGATTAAACCGGTGGGAATTAGCGTCATCACACAAGCCGGCGGGCGTCTGTCCCTCACTCAGCCGGGTCCGGCGCCGTGTGTTCCTTATCCGCTACCCTCCAAGGCACTACCTGCATGCCTCAGGTCAGGGTTCACAAACTTTTAGGTTTTTGTTTGAGTCAGAGGTCCAGAATAATTTTCAACAACAAAACAGCATTTAATGAACTTTAACGATGATCTTCGATATAGACATCAATACGTGACAAAAACGGGACTCTCTGTCATGGAGGGATTATGATGAGTTATGTGTGGGCAAAATTTGGTGGTTCTATGTTGTATTTTTATTCTTCAAACCATTTTAAGAAATGTATGTAGATGATCTTGATTCATAAAATGCATCATCGACTGGGTCCGGGTCCGCATCGTAATCGCGGTCCGCACTTTGTGAGCCCCTGCATTAGATACTAGCGGAACGGCTCTTTCACGGGGCACCGCTCTTGCCACCCGATCTTTGCGTTGTGACGCTACCGCTAATAAACAAAAACACTTCAGGCTCATATCGCAGTGTCTCACATTGCTGACAGGAGCCGTTTTCGTTTCACTTACTTAGCCTACGAAAACACAGTAATCAATCCACACGTGCCTCACAGCGTTACTTTCAATATTTTATTAATAAGTGTCTGTTGGTTCAGGCACGCTAAAGAAATGCCTCAGAGAAGCAAATCACACAAACCACAGCACACGGGTTATTGTATAACTTGTTGTGTTAGGCCTAATTTTATTAATGGTAAAATAAAATTTCTAGAGACAGTCCTTAACACATGCATATGTATGATGAGCCAAATTTCCGGAAATTATTTCAGAAGTAATTATCTTTAGATGAATTATTACTTGCTCGACTGTTATGCAACCTATTAATTACATTCCTGAGAAATACCCCTTCCGAATGCCCTTGAGAACAGACCCCTCGAACGGACAGTTACACAAGATTTAGCATCTGTAGTGTCACACAGACCCAGGTTCAACCGGCCACTACCTGATGCAACACTGAGAAAACAGATATTTTTGGAACTGAGAGCTTTGGCGATCTCTGTAGCGACTGCGAGCTTTGCGATGTCCCTGGGGAACACCTTTCAGTGTCGCTGTCTTGCCGAGCTCCCAGGCCATTCTAATCAGAGCCTCCTGCTAGCCGTCATCACCGAGGCCGCGGTGTCTTCTGGGGTCAAGGTCCGCCGCGGGACACACGCTCGCCGTTAATCGCTCAGTGGCCTGTTGCATCGTAGGCGTCGCTTTAGAGCCGCCGCTTTAAAAGTTTAAAAACACGCTGAACGGATTTCAGAGACACTCGGAATTGACGTGGGGGACTCCTAGAAAACGAGCGAAAGAGACGGGCAACATAAGACGACCTCTAACACGTCAAGGAATACTGGAACCTGGCGATACCGTGCCCGGTGCCTTACAGGCGTGTCGCTGCACAGGGCCATCCATGCAGTGCGTGTTCTCTAAGGTTTCTGCACCAGACACAGTGGAGTCTCACATATAAACACGACCCTATAAATACAGAGTGCCTTACACCCACACAGATCGAGAACCTGCCTCAGGAGCCTCACGTTTAAGTAAAGAGTGACGGAATCCGGCTATTAGAGCATCAGGAATGTCCGTTGAACTACGGGACGTTTGGACCCCCCAGAAATAATGTACTCTGCATAAATAGTCCTGAGTGCCACAGTATGATTGATGGCAGCTGAACTATCATGTGCTTAAATACTGATGGGGGGAGGAGTGTCTCTACATGCGCTTGAGGAGGAAAATAATGAAGAGCTGTTAAATTTCTGCACGAGTCCTTCCACGGGGGTGCAGCGTCCCATCTACGCCACAGTACGCGGAGCCTGGCTAGGCCTGCAGGTGATAAACTCTCAAGACACAAAGGTGGGTAAGAGGCTGGTATTTCACCTAAGTGTGCTTAACCCAGGAGCTGACCACAGAGCGGCTCGGGGGCCCCGCAGCGAAGGCCGTGAACAGCTGCAGAAACTGGTTATGTACCATAAACTATAAGAGGGATTTTAAAAAACTGAGAAGAAAAAAAATACTAATCAGTACTAGAACTATATCAGATACTAAAATATGTTATTTTGCAAACCGTAAAAACAGCCTTTGACAGACCTTTAGACCTTTGAGAGAAGCTTAGTAGAGACCGAGCTTGTAAATTTCCTACCAAAACTGTTTGTTTCCATTGGTATCCCATACACAGACTTATGCTCTCCAAATTAACCTAGGGCTACATCTACAAGCATACATCATACCACACCCTGGGAGAGGTGTTAATCGCTCTCTTGATTAAGTTACATGCCTCTGAATTTGGCCCTCTCCTCATTAATTCGATTAATTAATTCTGAAACCAATATACTTGCTTATATCACGCTTGTTTGTTTTTCTGCAACCAACAACAACCAGCTCCCGACAAAATACTTTTACGAGTCATCTCCAGAGTCAAAAATATAGTGTTTGTGATTGCATGCGACATTTTAAGTAATAGGTCACACAATCCTCAGCACAACCAGAAATCAAAATCCAAAATGACAAGTCACGTGAGCAGCACCATGCGGCGCGAGAAGGAGAGAGACCTAAACGGATTAGCGGCTGGTTCGTCAAAGTGCTTTTTCTTCTTTTGCCAAAAGCAACGCGGCGGCTTTGTTGTTAACGTTGCACATAAAGTAAACTTTTACTTCCGGAAAGCTTTGTTGTCATGTTTTTTTACTCCTGAAATGACAGAAATTGTTACTTGTGCATTGATATGCAAAAAGTCACCCGTGGGGCACTTAAAAATAATTTTCGCGTGTATAATTTTGTGAATATTCGTATAGGCCTAATTAGTTAAGATGGCTCAAGTATGTGTTAAAATTGCATTTTTTTCCTGCAGACTTTGTTTCTGAGAAATTTGGGATAAAAATGTGCCCAGAATGTGAAGGAGGAGAGAGTGTCGTATTGCCCGCGCAGTGGATCTTTACTTAGGGGTCAAATGGCTGTGATAAGGGACGATCGAGATGGAGGGGTCTCCTCTTCCGTGAAGATAACTCAAGTGCAGCAGAAGAGTGAGAGTGAGGGCTCGGAGGCCGAGGCCGCCCAGGAGCAGAAGAGCGCCGAGGAGCCCGTGTCTGAGGGGGAATCCCTCGGCTTCGGCGATGCCGATAAAGACGATGACGATGATGACTATGATGACGACGACGATGTCTATCAGGAATTTGAGGAGTATGAAGATATCTCAGAGTTCCCCGACAGCAGGAGCATCGCCTCAGATGACTCCTTTTACCCACCTGATAACTCGATCGGGTCGCCGCGATCGCCGTCTCCGGAGCCCATCTCCTTCTTCCGAGCATGCTGCACTAATAACACCGTCATCGTGCGGATCATGATCAGGCAAGGGCTGACGGAGGAAGAGGTCCGGGAGACTGATCGCAACAGCAGGGTGAGCTCCATTTATAGAAATGTTTTAAAAAGTTTTGCCGTCATAAAAAAGTTCGCTCGGCGTCGCAGAGCTGCCTTGTTTTAATAATTAAATTAACGGGCTTTATATATGTGAGAGCCGCTCTCCCAACGACTATTTATAAGGCTAAATATCCGTGTGTTTCTGTTCTGACACTTCCACGCAGCTTAATTATAATAAAAATACATGGACATTTATTGCAAGTAATTGAATTAAATGGCAAACAAAACTTCATGATCCGAATTTTTCCAGCAAACTTGAATAGGGAGAGTGTTGCATATGTAGACTATATATACTTAGCCTAGTCCGTTGCACTGTTTTGTGTTTTCTTCTTATTTAGGCCTATCTTAGATTCCGAACCTTGTTTCGTTAAGTGTGGTATTTATTACTTGGTACAAAACATAAATTAAATGCTTTACTTATTGAATAATTTGTTTTAGAAATATGCAATACATTCATCGCTTTATATGAGGAAAAGTGAGCCACTGGTGACTGAAGATCAACATGGATGTTAGTCAATCAAATCTGTTAAAGCGTGTGGTTTTGACCGCTTATTTTTTATTCAGTTTGTTCACTCATAGTTCGAAAACCTCCGCTGTCCCTTACCAGACGACAGCGCTATACTCCCGTTTACAATGTGACAGCGACGCAGACTCGTCCCATTACACGCTGCTAGCATAGCCCTGTCTGCTTTGTTAAATAATTAAAGTGGTCTGTGTCTTCCAGTGGATCCTTTTGAATGAAAGATTTAAAAGGCAGACTTAGAGACTGGGCCACACTGTGCGCCCTGTCCCGGCAGTGCAGTGCTGCTCTCCAGCGCGTCCCCGACGGTGCGCGCTCTGGGTCCCTGCCATCTCCGCGCTCACGTCTCACAGCGGCTTTCTTACATGGTGTTTCTGTATTTAGCCGCTCATGATCTGGATACTCGCGGGAACGATAAACAAAGCAGCCTTCCGGCGTGTCGCAATGCGAGAGGCAGGAAGCTCATTTTACTCGTACAGTCTCACCTTAGCTGTTCCTTCACCTTGAACAGGCCGCACTTTATTTCGCATAGAGTTGTTAATCAACGGCAGTATCTTAAGACATAAGGTGTAAAGACTTATGCATACAGACCCAAAAATTATGACAAAATAGAAATAAGGGAATCCCTGTCAGCTTAAATGCAGATATATAGCTGGATAAATGTGGGGTATATGGCATATGCATGCCTACTGGGCAGGATGTGATATTACAAATCCAAGAAGGACTGATGTTTTACCCTGGAACTTTGATCAGCCAGTATAGGACCCCACTTGCTGTTGTGTTTGTTGCCGAAGCAACTCAAGAATTGCAGCTAAATAATAAAGCCTGAGATTTGTGGTTTTCTCACGTTTTACTGGACCTACTCTTTAAGTAACTTTTATTAAGCTCATCCATTTAACATAAAGTAATTATGTTAAGTAAGTGTTTCTCCGAAATAAACGATGGCCCATGTTCAGATTTGATATATTTGGTAAGCAGTACAGGATCATTTTTGCAACAACAGAATGCGTTTAAATTCAAAGTTTATCATGTCGGTTAGCTGAAGCTTTTCACCAAACTAACACACATACATATTGTAATATTCTTCCTCTGACGCTCGGTGCCCAGTCGTCGCTCTGAATGGGACGAGTCTGTGCTCTAGCTCGTCACCGCAGTCTGAGTTTGTCACTCTTACTTTGTAACTGGATAGGGCCACTTTGTTGGGTTTGATTTGGAGATGGAACGCATGGAGAATCTGACAGCTCCTCACAGTCTTTCAGGCCGGACATTCCTCGTGCGGAGCCCCGTGCCTGTTAGGGAGGGTTATGGGTCTGAACGCCGCATCCTCTTCCCTCCAGATGTCTTGCGGTTTGTCAGCTTTGTATTACCTAACAAAAGTGATCCTGCAGGTGATGACAATAAAAATTCAAGAATCCAGAAAGTTTTATATCGCTCGTGCGACTACAAATCAGATTCTCGTAAATCCCAACAGGAGATACTGACACGTAAACATTATTTTTCTTTGAATAGAAGGACTTTGACATTCAGCAAAATTAATCTTTGCTTCAAGGAGGAATGAAACTATGTAGCATCTAGCATGTTTCTTCCTTCTGTACATGTGTGCTGCGTTCTGTTTTAATGGGGAAATCCCTGTGTGTTCAGAAGCCTGGCTGAAAATGGGACCGACTCTTGGAGGCAGGATAGCATAGCTCTGTTACCATGCAGGCCGCTGGGACCTGCCTTCATAATCTAATTATGCTGGAATTATACGGCAGATGTGTGCTGATAACCAGCTCAGTCTCCCCTGATTGGTCGATTTGGTGGCCATTTCGTAAGTGACCACTTGCTTGTCACTTACTAAAACTTGAAATGCATTGTACATTGTGGGGATTATATGGCAGAACTGTAGAATATGATAACAATTTGAGGTTTGCACCCCCCCTCCATTATACCTGTAAATCTGGGCCCCTGAATATCCCAGGTTACCCCTGTTAAGCCTCACGCTGAACAGTAGGCCACTGCAAACACTCAGCAGGTCTGAGAGCGAGGCGCTCGCTAGACGGCAGAAGCCGCTGCTTCTATTCAAGGCAGAAGCTGTTGTGTCTTGTGGCTGTTTTGTTGGTGAACCGAACGGAGCCCAGATCTCATCCTTTAGCCTCGTCATAGACGGATGCTATATTTAGCAGTAACTGGAAACAGCAGTAGCTGCAGCTAAATATTGTGTGTGTGTGTGTGTGTGTGTGTGTGTGTGTCTGTGTGTCTGTCTGTGTGTGTGTGTTTGTCTGTGTCTGTGTGTGTCTTTGTCTGTGTGTGTGTGCCTGTCTGTGTGTGTCTTTGTCTGTGTGTGTGTGTGTGTGTCTGTGTGTGTGTGTGTATATATACACTCTGTTTGTTAAGCTTATTTACTTCAGCACTGTAAGTAAATATCAGCTGGCCAGATACACGAAGCTCAAAAAGTCTGGAATGGATGCAGGATACAGAGTCAAAAGTCTGGAACTGGCCAAATATTTTTAAGATGTAGAATGTTGGATTGATGTATCCGATATAATTTTGCATTAGACCAGTGGCGGTATCTGTGTGGATTTCTGAACAGCCGTCTGAATTCAGCTTCACTTCAAATGAAGGGCCCCGGGCCCCGGACCCCCGGCCCCAGCGCCGAATCAATGGGGCTCCAGCTCAGTGCAGCTCCTTGTGTTCTCTCCGCCTGTCCGGCACAGGTAACAATAATGGTGTTTTCAGAATCAGGATCACAATATCTGTGTCTCAGGAGTTACGTTTACGTTCACGGCATTTGGCAGGCGTCCTCAGCCAGAGCGACTTACATAAGTGCTCAGACGTCTCATCGGTGAATACATTGCGATACTCGCTCAATGGAGAGTTAGCCAGAGTGGGAGAACTAAGTCCAGTAATGGTCAGTGATTCGTTTGTGGAGTTTTAAAGATGCAATAACAAAAAAAAATAAAAATCTCCCAGAGCACCTCACCAACAGTCAGGTGACAGAGAGGGTAAAGGCCAGATGCTTAACTGGAGGAAGGTTATTAGCAAAGTCTTAACAAGGGATTGTGTCCAGGATCAGAGTGTCTGTGTCTGCTGGAACTAGCCTAATGATGTCAGAGAGCCGCTTATCTGAGTGTGCTGATTATCCAGAGTAAATGCTCTTTAATAATTCATGTCTAATAATGAAGACTCGTCCTGCATTCTGTACCATTTTTAAAGAAATGGTTGTAATCAGTGCAGATGGTGGAAACAATATTTTAATTGGGAATCATCCAACCATATATCAATCTGACATAACTACTTACCCATTGTAGGGTAGGAGTGATTGGAAATTATATAAAAGCAGAATTCATTTGATAAAACTATTATGTTACATATGGGTACACCAGTGTTCCAGATAGATATGAATATCTAGTTAACAGCAACCGTAAAACTTAACATTAAACGCTTTAAAACTGACTAAAATGCAGTGAGAGAAGGCTGTGTTCTCAAATTAGTCGAGTGGTTGATTCATTGACCTTTTCCTCTGAGTGAGCGCGTATTGTTGCGTAAACTGCAGCACGGTTTCACAATTTACACGGCACGCTGACAGCTTAATTAGCACTGACCTTTGACGGGGCTATTAAAATCAATGCCGGCGCTTGTAACGTTTGCAGCTTTCCGGAAATGCTGCTTCAGTCGGAGCGAGAGACACTGCGCAAGTCTGTTCTGCTTTTACAATTTTCTAGTGAGTAGTGAGGATGATAGAACCACAGGATGTAAATTTCCCAGGATGCTTTTAATGCAAATCATTCCCTCCAGTGTGAGATTACTAATATCAATCCAAAATTAAGCGAATATTTCCCTGGTGCCGTATTCTGAATTTGAAACATGGCACGATGAAGTGACTCACTTGGTATAATTTGTAACTGTAAATGCACACGTGTGTTACTTTGACCCAAGACGAGACTGATACCCAGATACCACGCCAATGGCGTGCAGTTAAACTCATAACCTTCTGGTTGGAGGTGAGGTTCGAGTCTCTCCATGTGTGTCCTTTTCATCCAAGGAAAGGACATTATGCCTTTAATCAGCAAGGCATCTTTGATGAACAGATAAGTTACTAGGTGCTGTTTAAGCTGGTGAAGCTCATGAAGCAAAATCCTTGCTAAAGTAAACTGCTGAGGTCGTCCCGGGTCCTGTTTAAAAAAGCAAGCATAGACTCACGTCTCTCTGAATCCCGATAAGCTGAGACAGCCTGTCTGGCATTTTGAAGCCTGTAACCACTGGTCCGCTTTGAGTGTAAAACCTTTGGTTGCTTTGGTACATCTCTGCTTTGGGTCTCTTTGATTCCACACTTAAAGACTGATGCAGAACAAGCAAGGTTCTCAGCAATAAAAATGGACATCAGGATAAATGTGACTTTAAACCTGGAATCAAGTCTTTATTTCTTCCATCCATCCATCCATCCATCCATCCATCATAAGTGCTTGTTCCCCACAGGGCCTTGGTGAGTGTGTAGCACAGCGGGATCTAGAGATTGGCAGAGGTGGGCAATGCCCACCCAAATTTCAGCTCTGCCCATCCAATTGGTCAACTTCAGCCTGCGCTATTTGAATCTGCCAATCACATTTATTTAATTTGTCCCATCGGATATTCTTCTGCAGATCATTGGTAGTCGCCTGTGAAAATGGAGGAGGAATGTGACCTTATTCTTATTAAAGCTCCTTCTTGATAAAATGTATCTTTTGTTGCTGTAGTTTGTTGTAATGTTGTTTTGAGTTCAGTAGTAGTAGTAGTAGTACTAGTAGTAGTTTACTTAACTATTAGACAGTTAGCGAGCTAACCTTACCATCGGCCAGGAAGCTCACTAGAACGGTATAGCGGAACCCGTATCCGCTGCTTCGGTAACCATGGCGCAATTTATAAATTAAACTGTATAATAGGTATGTAAGTACTCGAAAATACAAGTAATTGATAGTGTTTTTTCAAAGCTTTTGATGTAGTTAATTTTAGGTTTACAATGGAATAATATAGATTTGCCGTAAGATTTACTGCCAGAGAGTGAGAGTCTGAAAGTGTGAGTGTCACACCAGAGGAGTGAGAGTCTGAAAGTGTGAGTTTCACACCCGAGGATAGTCTGAAAGTATGTGTCACACCAGAGGAGTGAGAGTCTGATGGTGTGAGTGTCACACCAGAGGAATGAGAGTCTGAAAGTGTGAGTGTCACACCAGAGGAGTGAAAGACTGATGGTGTGAGTGTTACACCAGAGGAATGAGAGTCTGAAAGTGTGAGTGTCACACCAGAGGAATGAGAGTCTGAAAGTGTGTCACACCCGAGGAGTGAGTGTCTGATAGTGTGAGTGTCACACCAGAGGAATGAGAGTCTGAAAGTGTGAGTGTCACACCAGAGGAGTGAGTGTCTGACAGTTTACATTAAGTTTATGTTTGGTTAGCAGACATTTCTGTCCAAAGCACCTTACAGAAACCCCAAAATAATAATAATAATAATCTTGATTAGAGAGAGAACCATGAGAGCATAATGTAGAGTTCATAAATAGTTCATCACAGGACAGAGACACACAATCTAGAGTTGCCGGTTAAGTAATATTAATACTAACTGGGCTAATAGCCTACTCCTGCATGTCTCAGTATTAATACTAACTGGGCTAATAGCTTAGCCTACTCCTGCATGTCTCAGAGAGGGTTGAGTATGAAGCAGGTGTGCAGGGTCTGTGTTGGCAGAAGCCGGCACTGGTGGCTGTACAAGCTTCTTGTTAGTCAGAAAGCAAATGATTTAGCACATGGCTTTTTGAGCTCCTGAGGCAGCCCTAGGGTGCTAATAAAATCGTCCCAGTCCGTCCTGCGCTGCCTGCACAGTCTGGTGAATCCCTTCATCACCCAGGAGAACCTTTCCCTCTCTTCAGGCTATAAATTATCTTCCAGAGAAGCTGGCAAAGTATCAGCAGCAGCACGACAGAGGCCACGGCGTTCCCCATGCCGCTATTAGGCACGGAGTGGCCAGGAAGGCCTGGGGTGCAGAATCACGGCTGTTGTGGGCCAGGGAATTGCATGGATCCATCAGAGAGACACATGCATGCAGCAAGCAGTTTGGATAGCATGTGGTTTGAGTAGCATGCGGTTTGGGTAGCTTTGGGTTTGAGTAGCGTGTGGTTTGAGTAGCATGCTGTTTGGGTAGCGTACTGATTTTATAGCATGCAGATTGGGTTGCTTGTGGTTTGGGTAACATACTGTTTTTGTAGCATGTGGTTTGAGTAGCATGCGGTTTGGGTAGCTTTGGGTTTGAGTAGCATGTGGTTTGGGTAGCGTGCAGTTTGAGTACTATGCTGTTTGAGTAGCGTGCTGTTATTGTAGCATATGAGATTAAAATGAGATTAAAAGAACCAAAAAATTGAGAAGTTGAATAAAATTTGCAGCTAGCATCTAACATACAAGCCAGAAAGTGAGTAAAGAAGGAAAGAATCTAAAAATAAAATATTAAGCGGAAAAAATTAATGAAGTGTCTAAAAATAAGATGGTATGTTCAATAATTTAACATGCTTTAAAATTGAAACTTAGTAAGTTAAAGCTGATTCTTAAACTGTTTTAACTGCTCAGAGGAAACTGGGTATTCCATCTGTTGAGCAATTTTTTTGTGAAGTTTCTATGAAGATCTCTCCGTCTCTGTGTATTCTGTAGACGGGACTGATAGTGGCCTGTTACCAAGGCTACCTGGACGTGGTCATAGCTCTGGCGCAGTGCCCTTATTTGGATGTCAACTGGCAGGACAAGGAAGGAAACACTGCCCTCATCACAGCTGCTCAGGCAGGTGAGATGCTTGCTGATTGGCTCTTTGGGAGGAAGCTGTAATCCACCAGCCAATCGCTCCTTTTCTGCGTCTCTGCCACCATTTTAAACAATGGCAGCATTACCTGTGCCTCATTTTATTGATAGAACCTGCAATATTTACAGACAGCAGGCATTAACATTCTAAAATACAAACACTCTTTTACAGAAATGAGGTGTTTCTAGAGGTCACAGAGTTGGACGTTCCAAAAGATGACTTCGGTTGAATAATGACAAAAAAATATAGTAATCTCTAACAAAATGTTATTAACTCCAAAGATGTGGTTTCATTAATTTTCAGAAAGATGCAAAGCAAAGCTTGCCTTTGGCCTTTAATTAAGCTAATGTGATATTTATCATGGCATTTTGAAAAGGCGCGTACGTGTATCACCGCATACCAAATCACCGTTGTAGTCTGACAACACTGCAGATAACTATGAATCGCTTTCATGTATAAATGACTGGCCGATGATTCCCTGCGACCTGATTTTCGAAACCTGAACCATCCCCTTAAGGTAAACAAAGCACACGACCAAGAAACTATAGACCTGCCAGTATGCTCAGCTGGGACTTGCTCTGCCTTGGAAAGAGTACAGGAGGCGCACATGGCCAGGCCGCTCCCTACCACTATGCTAACTGCTAATAGCGTTCTGCTACTCTTCAGGACACACAATGATCTCCCACTATCTGCTCAACTACTTCCCTGGCCTGGACATGGAGAGGAGAAACTGCCACGGCTTCAGCGCCTTGATGAAGGCCGCCATGCAGGGCAGGGCAGACTGCGTCCGGGCCTTGATGCTAGCAGGTACTGCACCTTTCCTGCACCCTTTCTGCACCAGCTCGTGGTCTGCACTTTGTTTAGAGGTCATTAGCCTGTTTGTTCTAAAAAAAAAACTTTAGGAAGGCGTTAGAGCTCCTGATAAAATGATTTAAGTACCTCTGCACCAAACCTGAACTGCTTAATTTGTTAAAATCTGCATAAATGGGTAAAATATGAGAAATGTAGGTTGTCGATTTGATTGACAAGTCCTGTGTAACAGGGTGATATTATGCTTTTTAAATTTCGTTTATTTTTGCTGCCACTAGGGGGCGACATGGAGGCTACGGACTATGGGCGGAAGCTGACCCCCCGGGAGTGGGCCCTGTTCACAGGCCGCTATGAGACGGCCCGCGTCATGGCACGACTGATGGCTCGGCCATGCGCTGAGCAGTTCTGCGCCGCATACCGGCCGGAGTGGCCACAGCTGGCAGAGCGCGTGTCCAAGGCGCGCGCGAACGGGAGCTGCCTGCGCCGGCTGGCCGAGACCCTCTGCTGCTCCCTGCGGCTGGCCTTCTGCGTGCGGACAGCCCCGCGGCAGGACGGCGTGCTGGACCACATGGTGCGCGTCACCACCGCTCTGGGCAGCCCCTTCGTAGCCACGGCATGCCGCACCGTATGCCCGGGCAGCCCGCCCTGCGTGGGCAAGCGCCGGCCTGCTGTGCAGGAGATCCTGCGCCGCCAGAGGCAGGACGAGCTCAGGGACCAGGGCTCCAAGCATCTCACCCAATACCACCGACTCTTCCAGAACTCACGTGTCCTACTCGTACCACGGGCTCATGAGCGGCGCTCCAGCCTGCAGCCGCCGCGCCAGGCAGCTGCCACGTCCGCTGGGGCACTGCGCAGGGGCAGCCTGATGCCACTGCATTTGTTGCGGCGCAGCAGTGTGCGCCCCGGCCAGGCCGTGCCCCGCCTGTTCGTCTCCAAGGCGCCCTCCGCCTCGTGCGAGCCCACGAAGGTCCGCACCGCTGACTCGCACCACTTGCAAGTGCCCAGGTGGAGGTACAAGGAGCTGAAGGAGGAGAGGAGGAGGGTCGAGGGGAGCAACAAAGGGGGGAGGCTGGAGCCCCTCGCTCAGCGTCTGAGCAGCAGGAGGGAGAACTGACCGCGATCGAAGTGGAATCAGCGATTAACCTCAAAGAAGAATCAGGGGAACGACTTACTGTGATTCACTCCACCAGCAGAAAACAAAACAAAACAAACAAATTAGCTTTTATACGCTCGTAATTATGTAATAAACTGAACGTTTCTAGTTTGTTATTTGGAAGTTACTGGACTAAAGTTCATGTTTTTATAGTAATGGCCGAGGAAACGGTCCGCAGGAGACCAAAGTAAACAAGAGGAGTGTCAGGGGGGCAACCTGAGTCCTGAGTCCAGAACTTTCCATGAAGAAATAAGCTTGAAATGTTACGTTTGCTCGTGCACTAGCCTGCTTCTGCCAGCTTGATTGTTTATTCCAAAAGGCTCCAGGATGAGGCCGGCCATGGTCATGTGACATCTAGAGTAGACTGCAGCTCTGCGGCGGCGTTGCAGGACTAACGCAAATCTCTTAAGGTAACAGCTCTTGAAGTTAGTTTAACTTACCGTAATGTCAGCGGGCATGCCATATTTCTACAGAATGTGTCTTTAAATCACTTTTACGCTCAATATTTCCCTCAGTGATGGATGACTTCCCGAGGTGGAAAAGCACTTTCCCATGAGCCGTAGAGGGTGCCCAGGGACCCGAGGAGCAGGAGCGTGCCAGGAATCTGCATCTACATTCTGGAGCCAAGCTCGCGGTGAAGCTGGCTACAGTTGTCCCATATGGGAATCTACCCGTAATAGAGGGACGCATGGAAGTATGGATGCCGTCCATATCTGAAGCTGGGCACGCAGTACAGGAGGCAGTAGCGGCTGAAGCAAATGCGGCTCCCTGGGCAAGCTGCATCACTGGCGCCCCCTGTCTGAGACGAAGTGAATTGGCTCAGAAGATGGCCACCTACATCACCTAATGGACGGAGCGGCACTAACTGGAGGGTGGGGGCAGACCCCCCCACACGTAATACAGACACCTCAGGAACACACAGGTCATGCTGCTGATGCTCGGGGCTCGCAGGCTGAACTGCAAGTATTGCAACATGTGCAAATCATCCCCAAAGGGCTCACTTGCAGCCAAAAGGTAAAAGGAGTGATGGGAATTAAAAAACATACACCGAGAGGTTGTGGGATTTCGACGGCGATAAACCTCACTGAGCGAGCCTTGTGTCCAGCTGTGGTGCTTCGCAGGGGTTCACTATAAATAATCTCACTGCACAAGCCAGCCTTAATCCACTGGGCCCGGCAAAGCAGGCAGATTAACTGTGAACGTCTAAGGTACAAGAGATTTCACCCAGAGAACTTTCACATTCCTTGAGCCAAATTCTTTCCAAATCACAATCCTTTTGTTGTCATATTTATGCCCTAGGGCCCCACATCTCGGGGCCAACCTTGGCCCCTACTCCCCGGATGGCCCCCTGGGGCCCTACACCTTAGGCCCCCCCCTCGGCCAGCTCCCCGGGTGGCCCCCTCAGCCCCTACACCCGCTGTGGCTCCGTCGGGGGGGATGGGACACTACAGGGCATCCAGATTGCTGCAGAGGAAGGTAAATCTCCTGGATGATGCTTACCTGTCACCTCCCATCAGTGGTTGCTTGTCGCGACAGGCTGTCCCCGATTCCCCCCGAACCTCAGCCCTTGGGAACCAGATGTTTGCAAATTCCGTGTGACAGCACCTGCTGGTGGTGCCGTGTGGAGCCAGAAGGTCAATGAAGGGCCAGCTAGCCATCTGTATCGGAGCAGGCGGAAGGATGTACACATACGGTTTGTTTTGAAATGGAAAAACCTTTACTTTTAATCAAAAATTCCTGCGTGTTTTTTATTTCTACAATTTCAGAAGAAAAGGAAGTAATTAAATATTTTAATTAAAGTTATGATTGGTCTTTCTTTTTGTATACGCTGCTGAACATCAACAGGACGGTCTTAGACTGCCTGATCGAACCTGGGATGCTGGGCATGCTAGTCAACAGTGATGGGCAAAATGACGCCTCATGAACCATTTGCTGTAATGTTTGACCCCACTAGATGGTGCTCTCTGTCCAAAAAAGGGCACAAAGCATGACCCAAAGTAAACTAAGAGCACCATCTAGTGGGGTCAAAAAATACAGCAAATGGTTCATGAGGCGTCATTTTGCCCATCACTACTAGTCAGTATGAGTACTGACTGGCTGCAGGACTGACTTCAGCACTGATTACATCCTGACCTTTTATAACACACTGCGTGCAAATTTGTGATTTTTGATAAAGATTGGGTGGGATGAACAACCGCTTCTCTGTCTGGCATACTGTGACATGTCCTCAGATGCCAGGCACGCTTTACCTGTTTAGTGTCTAACAGAATGTGGTACCATTTAGAAGGAAGATATATTTATGCAGCATAAACAATCCCATAGCAAACAATGCAATCAAATATCAAAATCTCTGTATGCAATTTTAACTCGTAAAAAAAATCTTGTAAACAAATAATATAATCCTCACCAAATAAAAAATTAAAGGTCAATAAGAAAAAAACAACATTCCCATTGCCCTTAAGGCACTGTCTTGTGAACGGACCGAAACCAGAGGAAATGGCTTCTCCCTATAGACCTCAGTGTCCATTAATACTTGAGAAAGAAACACCGTAAAAGCAAAAGAGCACATAAACATCAAAGACCCATTTTGCCACCTTTTATTTGTCAAGAAAATGAAAAATGAATATATTTAGAATTCTCAGGGATAATTATATTAATGAAGACATAGTTAAACACATTATTCAAGACCAGTATGGTTTAAGGTACCCCTATTCAAATCTGGACCTCGATTCCAAATCCAGGCCTTGTTTTCAAGTCTCCCAGGTACTTAGCTTAATAATTCCTGGCTCTAATTGGTCAGAGGCTTCACATCTGGCTCTCAGGTAAAGGAAGGCTGGAAAACCAGCAGTGCTCGGCCATTGAGGACCGTGATGTGAATACCCCTGGTTTAAGGCATCCGCTGAGAGGTGCTTCATCAAAAATAACTGAATCCTCTTTATATTGAAAAGACTGCAGCTATGCAAAGTTGTGAAAAGATGGACAGCTTAGAGAGTTTGCTACAGAACATGCTCAGAATCCTAGCATGGCAATGTTCGTGCTTCTGAACCAAAAAGAATTACACCGTGTCACTGTTACATATTCAGCACAGCACATACAAGAAACTCAGCAAGCGGAATGATATGTAGCGTTATAGCAGAGTTAGCTATTATCCTGTTTAATTTATTCGCCCTGTGGCAGCTTTTCAGACTGGTAACATCTCAAAATGTCAGTATCTGAAGAACTACTAATACTTAGTCTTGGTGTAAGAGCCTGTTTCTTCTTACGCCAACGTGAAGTGAATTTTCCGTGACTTGGCCTGATCTCCTGACTTGCCGTTTGACATGCGTCCTTCCTGCATCCACGCTCTGAGACCGTGGGACCTTCTCGGTGTCAGAACTGGGATCTGAGATCTTGTTGACACGTCTTAGATCTGAGATTCCTCCTTGTATGGAGATGAGGATGAGTGACTCAGGCCCAGCTGCTGAATCATTCCCACTGGAAACCCCTGGGGATTCTGGGTGATTTACAGAGGCTGCTAGAAATTCAGACGAACACCAAGAATACCAGAAAGTGTAGAGCAACAATCCAACTAGTAAAACACATACAGATTGACATGCAGCATCGAGTTCTCATCCGTGTAGCTCAGGGACAACAAATATTAGCCAATGTCTTACTTTAATAACAACTTTTAAACTGCCAGGAATACTTTCAATCAAAAACCTAATTTTTTAATAACGTTATATTTAAAGAAATATATGTTACAGATTGATTTTGTTCTTAAATTCCATTTTATTGTGAATTTATTGTGAAAATATAAAAATAAATTGAATTGAATTGAACATACGTTTAAGAGGCTTTCTTTACCATTAATCTGAACGAAATTCCACTTTCTTTATGCATAGGGATGATAAAAATGAGAGCAAGCACCTAACTGAGGCCAAAAAGCTAAATGTTTTGCTAGGTATTGCTGTGGCTAAAATCGGCACAGTAAGAGTCAGCCAGCAGCAACCAGCAGCCTTTTTACTGTGGAAATGTTTTTTTCCTGAAGACTAAGCGATAAACGTCCTTCATGGAGCTGTGAAGCAAACCCCCATAGCTCACTATCACTCCCCTCATTAGCAGTGGACAATTCACTAAATTCCCTTTTTTGGAGGGGGGGGGTGATAATACAATTATATAATCATAATTTCTTACGAGATAGAATTTCGAGAAGCGACGTAAGGATGAAGTTTTACACATCGGCGCGCCACTAAGTGAAATCCGGCTCCCTGCAGCGCCGCTCCATGCTTAGAATAATTGCTCCAGTGCCGGGGCAGATGTGATTGACTCGGGGCGGGTGAATAATCTAACGGAGCGGGCTGGGGGCAGACGGGAACAGGGTAGCTCGGGGAGGTCGGCTGGTCGCCGGCATTTTAAATATCGCTTTGTCATTGCCTCTGCACAAGAAGTGTGTCGGAGGATCTTTCGATCGGAGATTCCGCGTCCGGATCCTCACTTTTACTATCTTTTTACGATGTGTTAAGGATGGCTTCCCCGTAGCCAGCACCAACTCCAGAATTTTTAAAGCTGTGGTCGTACGAGGGGCCATAATATATACCAGGGAGCTGACCTTATCGTTAGCCAATGATATATTAGGTATCGGTGAGTGACAGAGGAGGGGGCACCCCCGGAGCCAATCAGGTGGGGCCAGTTCCCATGTGGCCACGCCCCCGCCCGCAGTACAAGGGTACGGTACTTTGGGTGCTTTCCATTTTCCATTGACTTCTAGTCGGGTACCAGTAACACAAGTTCCAGCAGCGTAAGTACCAAACTAGCTGAGGTACAGTTTTCAGCTACATTTAACATGCAGTGCAGGGGAAGCGGTGACTCTGAATGCTTACAGTATGTGCACGTCCGGCCCCCCTGTGCTGACCACGCTTCCCGTCCACCGGACATCCTGCCAGACACTCTGTGGCCTGTAGAACATACGCATCACGGTGGCGATAACGGCTGAATGTGTGATCGATGGCTGGATCATGGTGGCATGTTTACTAACTCAATACAAGATAGATTAGATGGAGCAAAGCTTCGACGGCGACCTCCTCCTACAAATAAGCCGTGTGAATGAGGACAGCTAGGTGAAGGACAGGGTCAAGGGGACTTAAAGTCATCCATAACTGAGATATTTAGCAAAAACAGATGTGGGCAGGGAATAAATGCGTATTCTGTGACTCCCTGAGTAGGATCCTGGCTGTTTCACCCTTGACACCTGCGTTGGACAACCAAAACGTACCTTGCTCAGGGATATAAAATAACAATAAGTCCTCTTCTGGCACTCTGCCCGGTGACATCAGGTACATAACAACTACACTCCCTAGTGTCAAAGTTAGTTTTAAATACATTTCTGGCTTATTTACTTTACGTACACCGGTGGCTTAAGCAACCGAGGACAGCCTTCAGCGGAGGCGGTATTGAGCTGAAGGCACGAGGGCGGAGACCGTGTCATCCATCATGCGGCGACGGTGAACAGCAGGGCAGCGGAACTGGGACTCGGGATTTTCCGTCGCTTCCTCGGTGTCGAGGAAAGTCTTGTAGTTTGGGTAAACGCAGCCCGGAAGCAGGCAGCCCTCACAGGTGGTGCTTTTTGACCATCTAAGCGAGAAGTATTAGTAATTATAATAATAGGGCTTCATACTTTCCTTCAACAGAATAAATTTCAGTGCGGCCAGTCTCACCAAAAGCAGCCACTTGGGGGCAGCACTACTTCGACGGAGAGTGTTCCACCTACAGAGGCTGACCTTTTCCCAAAGTGATTCTCAGGTACAAAACCGCAATCATTTGATGCAGCAAGACCGTTAAGCAATGAATGCCACACAACAATGCACTTGAAGTGTGCATTGTGGAATTGTCTTCATTATTACCAGTCTGATGAACACAAAAGCCAGCGGTCTTCGTTGTAACGGAGGCAGCAATGTGGTTTATTTTAACAGCAAACATTGATTCGCAATGCAGATCTGGTGGAAGGTTGCATGAAGGGAGATAGATATTCATGGTGGTACCTTGGGATTGTCTACCAGGACCATCCAGACGCAGCATCAGCCGCATAACCAACTGCAGACCTTCCCTGAAGGCGCAGGGCGCAGAAGAGGGCCATGATAATTAACAGCAGTCTGAATGCTGAAGCTTGCTAGGCCAAACATCGCCATGGAAACCCTCAACCCTGTATTTACCGCCGTATTTACAGTCATTGTCTGTTGTGTCAAAATGTATATGCAGGCGGGCTCTGAAAGCTGCCGGCGATGCTCAGCATGATCCGCTGGATTCAGTCTTAAAAGCTCGCATCTAAGCACACTGGATTATTGATAATAAGCCGTTTCGCTGCCATTTTCCTAAAGCATACACAGGACTGTCTATCAAGTCTGAGAAAGTTTCAACGCACTTATCTTCTTTTCCTGAATCATTTAACAGGCAGTCTGAGAATAGCGGTGGACGACAAAGCGTCTAACTCCAGAATTTAATATTATCAGTACGTCGCTGACAACCGACTCGCGCGCTCCAATGACCTTAACAGGCACGTGAGCAGCATACTGGCACCAGTGAGATGTAACTGGATCGGGCATGGCACCTTGGACACACAGACAGGCTTATTTGTGCGGTCAGTCAGCAGACACGGCGGACCGCCATCGCCCTCCATACGAGTGGCAGGACTGCGGGTGGCGGCACAGCCCGCTGTCCTTTAGCTCAGCCCGTAATTACAAGGAGATCAAGTCTTCAGCGGCTGCCACAGAGGGGCCGCTTCTCCTGCGCAAACACCGCCTAGGCAGCCGATCGAGTCCGGCTAAAGATCACAGTGGCTGTCAGTCAGCCATTATAGGTAAATACGTATACTACTTAATTGGGTCTGTAATAAATTCATTATCATTAGTTCTATTATTATTATTTACATTGGTTAAAAGTGAAATTAACGACATTAACGAAAAAATAATCTAGCTTGTGGAAGCAACACGATCCAGGAAATCAGAGTTAGTTACATATTTGTAAAAACTGTAAAATGTAACCGCAAAGCAGTTAAATAACATGTCCGTTTCCAAAATCGTCTTTTGCTTCTTAATGATGGCAATCTAGTGTAAGTAATAACTGAAGGACATTAAGGTGAACTGCATCTGCCCCCCTAACAGAACAACTGCCGCTGTATGCCCCCCCC